CTGCCCGATTGAGAGGAAGCGAGTCGAGAGCAGCTCACCTCCCGGCTTTCGAACTAATTACCATGAGAACCAAGCTTCCGTGTCCAATTGAATGGTTTGACGGGGTGAGCGAACTCCTGAGCTTATGGATGATTTTTCCGCCGAGCACCCGAGCCCGTCTGACTTCCAGGAGCGAGTGTTTCCATGGACGAACTCGAAGATCAAGGATCTTCCCGGTGAATATGTGCTCAGACTCGCTTCTTCGGGACGATCAGGAGCGAAGCGTCTCCGAAGAGACTCCCACGGCAAGCCTCAACGAAAGCCACCTCGGAAATCTCTTTAGGATTGACCGCCTCTTACTCGATTTCCACCGAACATGACATCGGAGGCGTCGGAGTCAAAGTATAAACAAGAGCGCATTACACGATATGTCTCCTCCCAACTTTCAGAACGCGTATCAATGAAATCGATCCAGTCTCACAGAAACCGATAAGGAGCAGTCTTCCTCGGTTGATCTGGCCATCAGATTCGGATACATAGTTCATCGATAGGGTGACTGGAGATATTCAATACCGACCGGAACTGTTGGATGCTTTGTCAATGCAAGAACATCACCTTGGACCCCACCTGGGACTCAGCAGCCTGAAGCTCGGAGAATGCAATCAATCGACAAGATTCATCAGAGTGCAATGGTGGTGCGCGCATCTCTGACGGACGTCTAAGCGAGTGGGAATATCTGTGCCTTGATCCTACCGGGCGGGCTGCCTTCTCGGGAATCAATGAATACATTATGGGAGAAAACACCCCGAGCATTACCTTGAGGAGCCAAATATCACTCCCATGATTTTATCAATTTTCTGCACCGGTCGGATGGTTCCACCGGAACCAGAAGGAACCTCTCCCACGTCCAATAAGACACCACTACACCCTGGAGCGGAAAGTATGGAGCATAGGAGTAGAAAGATTTAGGTCTTTACTGCTGTACAGGTAGAACCACAGCTCGGCTCGCGAGTCGAGATGAACTCTGGCCGTTGAGGGAATTTGCGAGCTCCGATCCATGACGAATCGGAAGCCCTTCGCGAGCAGCGTGAAGGTAGGGGAGGGTACTGGCTCATTCTCACGGCGGGATCGCGCCTCCCAGAAAATTCTTCGAACATGGCTGTCATTGAATCACCGGTCGCGTCTTCCGGTCTGAACAGCTCCCGAGCGCAGCAGCCGCGAATATCCGCGTCGTATCTCGCGCGCTTTCAGTCTCTCGTATCGCTTTCGAGTATAATGAGCTCATCGAATCAATCTCGATATTCGAAGATTTTTCGTCCACCCCACTCGCCAGCTTGTTGCCTCGGAGCGCTCAAGTTCCGCTTTGATGTTCCGGGACTCGAAGATGACCTTTTTCCAGAACCTCGGACCATGATTGGGTACGGATCAAACCAACTCCTTACGCGAAATAGCGGCGCCATCTATTCACTCCGATTCTCCTCGCCGTCCTCGCATGCTCAGGATCAGGAAGGGGATTCTGATGATGAGCGGGTTTCCCGGGCGCGGGCAAGCTAATTCCCCTTGTATTCTCAGCTTGGAGCTCCGAGAGTTCCATCAATCTGATAAGCGATAACAGCGCACGGATGTAAAGCCTAACTAGCTGATATCTGCGGTAACGGCGGATGTCGCAACGTTCATGAACAAGTACGACGGCGCTACTCTCAATAGTGCTTGGCGTAATATGGTTTATTGCCACAAATTGACTCATTAGACAGGCTCGTCAGAAGTCAATGACAACCAATCGTCGTCGAAATATCGAAGCCCCGTTGAATCCGAATGACGTAATTGGTCCGTATGTCTGTGACTGACTCTCTGTCGGAAAAGGTCCCGCGATAAACTCCACCGGAAAGTGAAATCACGCATAATTCCCACTGAGAGCATCTGGGCATTAGATGTGGCTCCTGAGACGAGGGACTTTGTTGAGAAGAAATTCTGGGCTTTCTCCGGCCCCCGCTGGGACCGCATTCGAACCGAGTGTCAGCCCTCGAGCCGGTCTCCGCGTATCGTGCTGGAAGCTGTTAGCTCGATTTGGTCTGAGAACTTCCCAGGCTCCCAGTCTTGAGCCAACCAATGGGCCGAAGGTGTTCGTAGACTCCCAAGGAAATAGAAGAGTTTGCATCGATCTCCTGCAGGACGAGAGGCTCGGCTCCCCGAGTTATCTTGCCGGAGCACGGGAAAATACCCTTCAAGTCTCGCTCCAGGTCCCGAATCGTTCGAAAGCAATTATGTTGAATGCACGGTTTTCAGGCCGCATTGACGCGAGAAGGTCCACGAACAGATAAGCCCTGTGGACACCCCTCTCCTGGCGTCTCCTGAGATCGCAAGTTTCGAGGTTTTCCGTGCATGTAGCCATGCTCTCCGTCTTCAGCGATCCTCAGCCGATTCCCACCGGGCGGTTTCTAAGAACAACCTATTTTCCCAACCTTACAAAGACCGGGACATCTCGAGGCTCCTTTGTGGTTCGAGAGGAATCCGGAAGAGACCGTCAACCCTAGATCTGACGGTAGATCCGGTAGTGAGAGTCCAGTGATCAGAGGAGCTTCCCTGCGCATCCCGATCCGATGAAATGAGCATCGACAAACTCGCGGTAGACCTTTCGAAGACATGTGTGTGGACGATCGATCGGGGGAATGGTACGGAAGGTTCCGGGACACCAATTAGCGGAAATCCATTGAGATCTCCCGCAATATTCGGGGAGTTCTCTCACCAGAGCGGATGATTCCTCTTGGAGCG